TCTTATCTAAATGGTGCTTATTTATTTATGGGTCGTTTTTATTACTTTGTGAAGATTTTCTTTTCTTTGATTTATAAATTTATAGTTTCAACTCTTAGAATGACAAAATAAAATAAGAACCTGTTTGAAATTTTAGCCTAAACAGATTCTTGTATAAAGGGGGTCTAAGTATGCAATTTTAGCCGAACAGGTTCTTAAAATCTAGGTCACTCTTAAGCGCGGGGGTGTATTTCAAACAATTCTTCCTGTTCCAATCGCTGTATTTGTATTTCTTTGTCGTGCTCTAGTATAATATAAGATGTTCTTTTCATTTCTTAACTGGATTTATTCGCATTGATGCAATTTCATTTTTGTTGTTCTTGTTACCCACAATTGCAGGGATACAAGCCTCCCACTCCTTGCAAAAAAAATAAGCCGAGTTCCCATTTTTATTGGCCGCAGAGTAACTTTTACTTGCAGCAAACTACAACTTCGGGTTTGGTTTTCCCAAGGGCCTCCAGAGAGATTATAAAATAATAGAGCGCATGGATATTGCAGGAATAATCGAGGAACAAATTGAAGCTTCCTGATGGGGGCGCTCTCTGTTTGGCTAAAATCTCGCTTAGTCTAGGACCTGTATGTGAGTTTGTATGCGTTTCATTTAGGACAGGTAATCTCAACTGTTTTAGGGTAAAATGACCATGGCGGTTAACATGGCATATGCGCCCAGAAACGGCAGTGTCGACATAGCTCTAACTTCCGAAAAGGAAAAGAAAAAGCAATAGCCTTTCTGAAGTGCTTGTAGTGTTTAGAAGGGTTGCTTTTAGGGGTGGTCATTATATAGAAGGGAAAATTTGTATAATATTTTACAAGAAAATGACCATGCACCACCCCAGGTAAATTGCTAATTGTGCATAAAATAACTAATATGCCTGGCAGAAATGAGATTTTCTTATTTCCTAAAAAAAATTATGGGGTGAAAAACTATGCTCAATTTAATATAATTATTGTGGATTTTATAAGGATTGTCATTATTTTCATTAAATATAATACATTTTATTTCACTTAGCCCCCACGAAAACACGATTTCATCCATATTTTGCTGTCTTGTTTGCTTTTTATCGCCGAGTCTCGCAAATATCATCCAGTTGTTGTACTTTTACATAGTGGTAAATGGCTGAAGAAGATTTCAAAGAAGGTTTCATCAAGTTTTGAAACAGTGCAGTGTCAGTTTATCTTCGATATTGTGGCTTCGATATTTCGTGAAATATGGCGCCATTTCAATGGCTCGCGAAAACTTCTCGTGGACACATGACAGGGGGGTGGTGAATATTTTCACGAAACGTTTGTTGGCCACCACAGCAACCTAACTAAATACACTATATTTATTGAATGTTTATGGTTCATGATAAAAATACGCAAATATTTATTGCTTTTATCATCAATCATAAAAATACAATAAACATAGTGTGTTTAGTTAGGTTGCTGTGGTGGCGAACAAACGTTTCGTGAAAATATTTACTCCCCCCCCCCCCATGTCATGTGTCCACGATAAGTTTTCGCGAAGATTGCGCGTGAGTCTCAAATGATTTGTTTTTTTTTTATTTTGAACCTAAATGGTTTACGGGAGGGTTTTTCCTTCCAAGTGCAACTAATGTTTTCAATTTTTCGATTGGGACTATTCTACAATGAATTACTCCTGGATACTGTAATCTAAATACATAGGAAGACGAAGAAGTGGCATTTATCGGGCAGAGAAGGGGCGAGCCATTGCAATAGCGCCATATTTCACGAAATATCGAAGGACATAATATCGAAGATAAAATACACTGCACTGTTTCAAAACTTGATGAAAACTTTGCAATCTTTTCCAGCCATTTATGATTATGTAAAAGTACAACAACTGGATGATATTTGCCAGATTCGGATAAAAAGCAAACAAGACGGCAAAATATGGCTGAAATCGTGCGGGGTAAGTATAAGCGAAATAAAATGTATTATATTTAATGAAAATAAAGACAATCCACAATAATTATATTAAATTGAGCATAGTTTTTCACCCCATGATAATTTTTTTTAAGAAATAAGAAAATTTAATTTCTGCCTGGCATATTAGTTATTTTATGCATAATTAGCAATTTACCTGGGGTGGTGCATGGTCATTTTCTTGTAATATATTATATTAGACAAATTTTTCCTTCTAATGACCACCCCTAAAAGCAACCATTCTAAACACTTCAGAAAGGCTATTGCTTCTCCTTTTCGGAAGTTAGAGCTATGTCGACACTGCCGTTTCAGGGCGGGGTCATTTTCAGGACTTTCGTCCCGGATTCAGGTTTTGGCACATACGCCATGTTGACCGCCATGGTCATTTTACCCTAAAACAGTTGAGATTACCTGTCCTAAATTAAACGCATACAAACTCATATACGGGTCCTAGACTAGCTGCCAAAATGTAAATTCTCCTTCCCGGATGCCAAGCCGCGATGAGGTGCCGGAAATTACGGAAATAATACAACATTGAAACATCGATTTCGTCCAGTTTATAGCATAGTTCAAGTAAGAACTAAAAGCTCAAAATCGACAGGATATCAGGACTTTAATACAAAACAAGTTTTGGAACGGTATAGAAATGTTTTAAAGTGCTTTTTTTCGATGTTGAAGAGCGGTGTTTTCTTCGTGATTTCGCGATACGTCCAAATTGTTATCTTTTCCCACGATATATAAAACGGAAATTCCTCAATTTTTCGCCACAAATAAATGTAAAGTTGATAAAATAAGGATTGAATACCTGAATTGTACCGAAAAGGTGAAAAAATAGGATTTCTTGGTTTTACATCTGGGAATAACTCAAATGTCCCTCCATTAGCAAGCTTCATTTTGTCCCTTGCGTTTGCCTGACATTTTCCTACAATGCCCACTCTTATCGTTTCATAATCTCTATGCGGCTTTGGGGAACGCAAGCGGCCGTGAACGGGGATGGAGCATATTCGGATGGAGCATTTTCGGTGCACATATACCACATGTGATACTTCGGTGCACATATACCATCTCCAGAAACCTAATAAAAACGGATTTTTTCTGTGTTGGTGTAATGTACTCAGGTGAATATGATGCGTGTGATGTTACTCTGAGTGTATATCCACACCGGTGTCACAGCGGATTTGGACTCCCCGCGGATATGGACCCCTCGGTCCATATCAGCTAGCGGATTTGGACCTTTACGGCATATCCACTAGCTGATATGTACCCCCTTCCGCGGAATTAGACCCCCTAAAATTCACAAAAAGTTTTGAAACGATTTGCAGTTGAATGTGCATGGAAATTTAGGCGTCAGTTTAATTTAAATTATGATAACTAATGGCATGACTCAACTATCTTGGAATTTGCTTAATGGCGAAAACAAGTTATTGAGATGCTAATTTTATAAAAGTTTAGGGTTGAATGGAATGCGTCATTTTGTTATGGGTATGTTAATTAAGGCAAAAACAATTTGAAATATATTTTCATTTTCCGTTTTTATTTGAGCAGTTAAGAGTCAGAGCAGATAGCAATTCCAAGGAGTAATGTACTTGTGAAGGCTTCATGCGCTTCTCAGTTCTCGTACATTCCAAGATCATAGAAATAAACTCATGTATAGGAGAAAAATTATAAATCATAAACTTTGACGGAATTCTCTAATCTAAAAATCTAAGATTTGATGATCTAAAAATCTTCGTACGGTTTTTAAAATAATTCAGATGAGATTTATAACGATTTAAAACGCTTTCAGTGCAATATTTAAAATACAATACGTTGCAATGATAAAATACGCGAGGGGTCCAAATTCGCGAGGGGAGTCCAAAATCTCATCTATTTATTTTAAAAACCGTACGAAGAGTTTTAGATCATCAAATCTTAGATTGTAGATTAGAGAATTCCGTCAAAGTTTATGATTTATAATTTTTCTGCTACATGAGTTTATTTCTATTTCTTGGAATGTGCGAGAACTGAGAAGTGCATGAAGCCTTCACAAGTATTTAATTCTCGGAATTTGCTATCTGCTCTGACTCTTAACTGCTCAAATAAAAACGGAAAATGAAAATATATTTCAAATTATTTTGGCCTTATCATACGCATAACAAAATGACGCATTCCATTCAACCATAAACTTTTATAAAATTAGCATCTCAATACTTGTTTTCGTCATTAAGCAAATTCCAAGATAGTTGAGTCATGCGGCCATTAGTTACCATAATTTAAATTAAACTGACGCCTAAATTTCCATGCACATTCAAATGCAAATCGTTTCAAAACTTCTTCTTTTTGTGAATATTAGGGGGTCCAATTCCGCGGAAGGGGGTACATATCAGCTACCGGATATGTACCGTAGGGGTCCGAATCCGCTAGCTGATATGGACCGGGAGGTCCATATCCGTGGGGAGTCCAAATCCGCTGTGACACCGGGCAAGCTTGAAAAATATGCCTGTCCACGGTGGGAATCGAACCTACGACATTTGGAATACTAGCCCAATGCTCTGCCAACTGAGCTACGCGGTCTGGTCGGTTCGAGTATGTGATATTTCGGAACGAAATCTAGTTCCTTCGATATCAATGTAATCTAGTAATCATGATTTTTTCTGTGTTGGTGTAATGTACTCAGGTGAATACGATGCTTGTGATGTCACGCTGAGTGTATATCTACACCGGACAATCTTGAAAAATATGCCTGTCCACGGTGGGAATCGAACCCACGACCTTTGGAATACTACTGGAATACTCGAACCGACCTGACCGCGTAGCTCAGTTGGCAGAGCATTGGGCTAGTATTCCAATTAAAGGTCGTAGGTTTGATTCCCACCGTGGACAGGGCATATTTTTTAAGCTTGCGGGGTATGGATATATACACTCAGAGTTACATCACAAGCATCATATTCACCTGAGTACATTACACCAACAAAGAAAAAATCATGATTACTAGATTACATAGATATCGAAGGAACTAGATTCTGTTCCCAAATATCACATACTCGAACCGACCTGACCGCGTAGCTCGGTTGGCAGAGCATTGGGCTAGTATTCCAAATGTCGTAGGTTCGATTCCCACCGTGGACAGGCATATTTTTCAAGCTTGCCTGGTGTGGATATACACTCAGAGTAACATCATACGCATCTAATAAAAACTATTGACAAATTTATGATGGTGTGACATGTTTAGGGCAAATTGGCAATCTCAATAGAATACAAATTATTCACCCAACGGATGTTTTTGCTTCAAATTTTAATAAGACCTATATCCAAAAAATAATGACAAGTCACTGTCCTTTTTAAACTGTGAAATGCTGGAATTCTTCTGAATTGTTCGAGCAATGAAGCTCGAATAGAAAGGCTGATAGAATGCGATATTTACAAAGTATGGTAGTAATAATTAAATCTCTCTATTTGTTTTTATTTTATAGCATTTGAAAATGAGAGAAACAGATATATGTCAGAAACGCACGGCTGTGCAGTTTTTCAAACAGTTTGTGCGTAGCTTTGTGACGCCTTACCAGCAATCGCAACAGCCACCACGAGCTCCAGATGTACTCAGATATTTAAAGCCGTTCAGTTGTGAATGGTTGTCCCGGCCAGAAATTGCTTTATCAGAATATTCGGAAGCAATTTCATCAAATATGGCTGTACTAAGTGTGTTCAAGAAAACAGTGATTAGCAAAAAAGTGGTGAAAAAACTAGAGGCCAAGTTTAATCCGTTGGCAAGCGAGCTGAGAAACCTGAATCGAAAGAGCAACTCATCGCCAACTTCCGATAACGCAAAAGTCGTGCTAAAAAGCATTATCGACAATGACGAGGAGTTTGATCATACAATTAATAATTTATTTCAAGCAGCAAATGCAATATTTTGCATAGCAGCAAATCAGGTCGTAGCACGCTCTCTTCTCCGCAATCCTAATGCCTATTCAGGAATAATCGAAGTTTCCAACGAAATTGGTCAAGAATTTCAAAATAAAGGCGATGTAAAGGCAATGAAAAGATACTTGCTACAAGAATTTTCAACGGACACAACTAATGATACCCCAACAAGCGATATCTTAAGAGAACTTGACTCGACAAGCGAAGACTCTTCGTCGGAAAGCATTTCAGTGAGTGAATCCTCATCAGAATCGCTGACTCGTAGCAGGAAAAGAAAGGTCATCCAGGAAACAGAAAAATTCTCCTCATCGCCAGAGATCAAAAAAGTGCGAAAGTCACCCGAGAAAACCCCAACCACTAACAGACAACCGGCCGAAGGTGGAACGTCTACGCGTGCAAAGCCCTCAGCACGAAGGCCCTGGGGACGAGGTTGGTACAAAGCAAAGAAGCGAAGGGAGAAGAAAAGAAGAGAATAGTCTACCATTGGTAAAAGCCGCAGAAAATAAAAAACAGAAAAAGAAGACAAACGCCACGACACGCTTATGATTTTTCTTTGTGTTTTGCTCCTGAAATATTAATGAGTTTTCTAAGTTATGTTATGTTATGTTATGTTATGTTATGTTATGTTATGTTATGTTATGTTATGGTTTAATTGTGTTTCATTTTGAGTATGCCAAAATTAACTAAGGATCAAAGAGTTTGGATTTTCTTAGAGCATGCAAGATTCCAAAACGCGGCAGAAGTTAGAACACGATGACCGGGTCGCTGGGGTAACATTCCTGCGAATCCTGCCCCGACAAAACGAACAATTAGCGCAACGTACAAAACGTTTTTGCATGAAGCGCCATGCCACGACGCTATGGTCTCGGTCAATTTTTTATAAATATACAACTGTAATATATCAAAATCTAAGTTAGCCCTTCCTGTATGTAATAAAATATATTTGAGTGTAATTTCAGAGTTATTAAGAATCAAACCGGAGTACTTTTTTGGGGGACACCCGGTATATTACGCGCGGAAATTGTTACCATTTTTGAGCCGCACGTAATACAAATATAATTGCGTACATAATACAAATATACTGCAAATATGCAAACTTCGCAAGGCTATATTTTCTGCATTTTACAACATTTCGCAACCAAATTTTGCAATTTTACTAATTTCATTATGTTCTTTTTAACTGTTGTGTTTGATTCCCTTCTCTTTACTTAGATTAAAATTTAGTCTAACATGCAAGTTGTCCATTACGTTACATTAAAATTGTGAATGTTATATAATTTAAGGGTATTGAGATTTGATGTAAAGTTTGTTGAGTAAAAAAAGTATTTTTCTGCATAGACGGATTTTCATATTTTTTACTGGGGTGGTGCCAGAAATTTTAGGGGGTGAGCCGTGAGCAGGTGACTGAAGTAACACAAAGTGTCACCAAACCCCAGTAAGGTCTATATTCTAGGGTTGGAGCACTAGAGCCGCGAGGGGGAATCTAGAGAGTAGAAAACAAAGTATCCCTGGAAAAATTTGAAAAAATCATAATTTCTAGCTTCGAAAAAAAGTTTTTTGAAGTTGTCATATCAATGGATTTGGCATGTCCGATTGTCTGTTGAGACTTGAGAGAGTTAAAGTTAAAATAAATGAACTTGTAAAAGTGTAAACCCAATAGGCCAATACACAATATGCTTTTACTTTTATAAAGTCATTGACATTGTGTCGTTTGAATCCGAGTACAAGTTATGATGCAACTCCAATGTAAATAATATTTGGAGCGTAAAGATTAAATCTATAGGCGAGTCTATTTCCTAAAAGAATTAAAAACTAAAAATAATGTTCGTAAAAATTCCAAACGTTCCTTGCAAGCAAGCTATTTGCATAACAAGGCACTGCAAACTCTATTCAGGGAAGATAATAGAGTTTCAAAACTTTACAATTGCTCCAATAAACCAGTGAATGAAAGTGAGGAGCGATTAGTTTCAGAGTATTTGAGTGTACTCCTACGTTTATTTTGTATCATCAACACTCTGCACGTTGGAGTGGACTATTTAAAGGGGCAATGTCACCGATTTTTGACCTAAAATGCCTTTTATTCAAAAACTCAACTACAAAGTTAAAAATAAACATTGTAAATGGATTAAGTTATGATATATGAGTCATATTAAACAACTTTGGACTTCCACGCAACATGTAACTGAGATTTTCATAAAAATTGACTAAAACTTGAAAAAGTGTTTGCCAACAATTAATCAAGATGCCATTTACAATCCATTCAAACCTGACGTAATCTTGCCCATCCAGACTTCTGTCCATGTTTTTTGTGTCTGTTATTGCTTTATTTTGTGCTTACACTCATTCTTTTTCATTTTTGGGCAAAATTTGCGAGGGTTGATATTGCTAAAAAATCGGTGACATTGCCCCTTTAAATATTTTTATTATGCCGAATATTGGGGGGGGGGTTAAAATTTTTTTGGAGGGGTGGACATTTTGTTTGGGGGTTATATCTAATATTGGGGGGGGGG